CCCAAAAAAAAACAACACACAAAAAAACAACAACAACAACAACAACAAAACAAACAAGCAAACATAAAAAAATCTGTGATATCATTTTTGTTTGAGTAAAGAGAAACACATGCACACAAAATTAAACATTTAGAGCTGGAAAAAGTAAGTAGATAGACAGACAGAATAAGAAATTCGAGGGAAAGTTCAGAATTCTGAAGTATAAGGACCTACTTATGACGCCCTCTAACCAGCCACACAAAATCAAAGTCGTTGGCGAAATGTTCAAAGGGACGACGCTGCTGCTTTGACTCACAGATATAATAATAATAATAATAATAATAATAATAATAATAATAATAATAATAATAATAAAATAAATAAATAAATAAATAATAATAAATAGCATTTGTATAGCGCATATCCCCGCTCAACTGCAGGCTCTATGCGCTTAAATATTATGTGAAGTAGATATAATATTATGTGAAGCCTGCTGACAAAATGAGTTACTTCTCAGATTCGAGCCCTATGGAACATAGATACAGCACGCTTACAGGTGAAGTTTTTACAATAATTTATAAGTGTGAAATAATAAAAGTCATGTTATATTTGAAGAATATGGCATCAATACAAAATCTACAAATTTGACCCTAGTGTCAATTTTTGGCTAATGTCTCCACTTGTGAATTGCTAGAAGTAACTAACTTTGTCAGCACGCCTCACATATATATATATATATGTACATGACACTGGACGACTCAAACCGCAAATTTGAAACGTTTACGAAAAGCAAAATTGACTAAACGTGAAAACAAATAGAACGATACAACCCCCCCCCCCTACATATCGTTGTTGTTGCATCCACGTTCATTTCGTGCTGTAAGCTTCCCTTGTGTGTGTTTTTTTACTTCTGCAGACCGGCGTACATCCCCTGACAAAAACGTGTGGTTGTTCAACATCACAGCTGACCCGAACGAGCACAACGACTTGTCTGACCAGATGCCGGACATGGTCCGGACCCTCCTGGGATATCTACAACGGTTTAACCAGACCGCCGTGCCTGTACGGTACCCGCCATATGACCCAAGAAGTAACCCAGCCCTGCACGGCGGAGTTTGGAGGCCGTGGGAGTAGTCCCATTGGGGGATTTTCTTTTCTTTTTGTCGTTTGGGCTTTTTTCTAGAGAATAAAAAAGATAAGAATTTTCATCTCTCTGGTTCGTTGTTTGTTTTGCTACAAATCCTTCTAGACCGTGTGCATTAATGTACCTTGTCTGAGAATGGGAACAGATGAAGAAATGTTGCAGCTTCCGTCAACAAGAGTGGTATCAACGAGATTGTTGACACAAACTCAAAAGCAGGAGATCATGTAATTCATACAGACGGCTCAGTGAAAAGAGATAGCCAGCGGAGTGGATGGGGATTTGTTGCATTCGCCAACAATAAAATCATCCACAGTGCATCTGGAGCCTGCAGCAGGGCTACATCAAGTATGAGAATGGAAATTGAAGCCATCACGAAAGTACTTGATTGGTTGACCCAAGATCGCCCCCACACAACCCATGCTGTTCTCATCACAGATTCCAAGTGTACTTTCAGAAGGATCGAAAAAGGTTTCCTGAGATCAGACGGGATTCAACAGATTGAAGCAACGCCAATTATAATACGATCGCTCACATGGATTTTCTGCCCTGGCCATGCAGGCGTTAAAGGATATGAAAAAGCCGATCGACAGATTTGCTGGTGAGGCTACCTCAGTTGACAGCACAGTTCGACCAGATAGGGTCGAGATCCTGAAATGTCTCTCTCGCCACCTGACTGAAGAGGAAGATATTAAGGAGGCAGAGGCCAGTACTGCCGTGGAGAGGATGATGCTTTTGGGAATACGAAAAGGAAGCAGAAAATCTGGCATCCTTTCAGGAAAGAACAGAAGAACGTTCAACCAGACGTGCACTGGCACAATCAGTGGAAAGACCCTCGGCGACATTTTAGAGAGAGCAACGGAGCATCAAAGGACATGTCCAGAAAGCAGGGATGTTGCTTCCTGAAACAATGAACAATAAATTCCCTCCACCCCACATACACACCGCACGCGCGGCCAGGTAAACCACAAACCCTTAGACCACAGTACAGGTGAACTCTCAACGCCTGGGTCATGAACAATTTGAGAATGGGAGTTAAGTTACGGACGGCTCTTGGCATAGAAATGTGTCAGATTCGAGGGATTAGTCTGTCTTTGGCTCTTTATTCCTTTCTTTTCGTTGTCCGGTAACCCTGGTACGAACGTTTCACTTATCTGTTGTGTAGAGCTTTTCATTTAAATCCAAAATTTGTGGCTCTTTGGCTTCGACCAGTATTTTAGTTTTAGTTTTAGTAGAGGTTTTACGGCGCTCGCAACTGCATAAGGTCATATGAGCGCTAGAAGATTAGAGCTGTTACAAGAGAGTAACAAACCTAAAAAAGAAGAAGGGGAGATAAGGACGATAGATGTTTGATAGGAAAAAAGAAGGAAACCACACCAG